CTGACCTGACAGTGAGCGTGTCCTCAGCGTCATGAGCGGGGCGGAGCATCAGCAGGGTGGAGGAGGTTGGCAGCAGACTGGAGCTCACACCCACAAACAGCTCGTCCTGCAGCCACAGCAGCTGCCGCAGGGCCAGAGGCTCCTCCTGCAGAACAGTCACTCTGCAGGAAAAGAGATTTCAGACTAAAGTCAACATGACACAGATTGATCAGTCGAAGTTAAGATAGTGCGAAGGCTGCAGGAAACAGCAGCACTGCAGGTTGTTTACCTGAAGGTTTTCTGGAGGACCAGAGGACGAGACATCGTGCGGAACCCATCTGATGTTTTGTCAACTTGTTCTCCTGAATCTAGTATTTAAGCCCAGAACAAAACAGAGACACATTAGTGTTTACAAGGTACATTTATTGTCATTGTACAACAGGGTTACGCAACAAATTGCAGTCTGTAGTCCCATTTTCTTACATAAGATGTTACTATATTATATGTGGAGGTTGGAGGATGAAAGAAGGTGAACAGGTTCTGACTGGGGTGGGTTTTGTCTTTTAATATCTTTTGGGCTATTCGCAGGCACCCCTTGTCACCAATATCCCTTCATTATTGCTGTCTTTAAGGACAACATAGTATAGCTCACCTTGGACGTAGACTGAGATCTGTCCGTTGGAAGTCAACGCTGCCAGCTGATTGGTCCTCTGAGGTTGGCAGAGGAAGCTCACCTGGTTGACTGGCGAGGTCAGCTGGAGCTCAAATGAACACATGGGAGGAGGAACCACACACTGCCTGAAGTTTGTCACCAGGATTTTATCTGAGAGGAGAGGGTTTGGATAAATATTAACATCCTGTTGGAAACATCCATCAGACCAATGTCCCCTCGTCTCACTGCCCCTCACCTCCATCAATCACGGCCACGTTGGCGTTGTCGGTGGCGTCCATCCCGGGGCTCCTCTCCGTCGTCCAGCCCCAGTCGTAGGTGACGCTGGTCCAGCTGCGCGTCACCACGTGGAGCCTTAGGGGGCGCTCAGGGTCCCAGCAGACACAGACCGGAGCCTTCTGAGAGTCTCTGCCGAAGTCCAGACTCTGCTTTAGGTACCAGTGGTAGTTCCCCACCACCCACAGCTGGACTGCAGAGGGAGCACGGGCAGATCCAGGTGGGTCATTCATATACTTAGTCATTTACTTATTGTTGAATGGGTGGGTCACATTGACACCAATTGACCAACTGTAGTTGAACTCACTGTACGTGTCGACTTGTTCGTCCTCTCCAGCAGCCAAGTCCTCCAGCCACACCGCTAAAACAGTGGAGTCACTGTTCCACAGCAGATCCTTCACCTGAAACAGACACAGTGTTTTATGATGCTTTTGAAAGAGTCAACGTGACTAACTGTAGTGCGTATGCGGGTCAGGTTTAGCTGATCGTACCCTGGCCTGGTCTTTGCTGAAGGGGAGGGTGAAGTCTCCGTGCAGCAGTCCGTTCTTCTCCATGAAAACCACACTATGTTTGTTGGGATGGCGCTGAGTGCTCGCTATCAGGCTGCCCGAGGGTCTGAAACAGCCGGAGAAGATTGACCGTAAACTCTCACTTCTAATATTCATTATTTTATTCCTTCATGTAAATGTATTATTTATCCCGGAAATACAGCAGAATCGTTCACACATTGGCCCAGTTCTCCAGATGGGAAAAGTTTAACGAACTAAAAGAAAAGACTGACTTCCAGCAGAGCGCCTGCTCCAGGCCGTTGATGGACTCGCTGGTGGCCTGCAGGACCCCCTCTCTGTTCCAGACCCGGACCTTCCTGGCTCCGGTCTGGAGACAGACGGCACTGACGGCAAACAGCTGACCGTCACCTCGCCACGTCACACGTGGCGTGCGGTCATCCCAGGCTGCAGCCGGCTGCACCTCCTGTCGGTGCATGTTTACATCATTCAGAATATTGTCATACGAGACTAAATGTTTGTATGCGTCTGTGGTTGAACACTGACCTGGCTCTTCCTCTGTGCTGCCTGTTTCCCCTCTGAGCCGTGGAACTGAGTCTCCTTCTTTCCCCAACCCACCGTGATGAACTTCCCTGCAAAACACACAAACGTACAGAAGAATGATACATTTTACATAATGTTATTGTTATTGAGCCAGATCATCTCCTGACTCTCTGGATTTGAACCTCTGAGCCACCGTACCTTCACCAAAGTCGTCCTGGTGGATTCCAACCTCAGTGATCGGCTCAAATTCTTTGGTCATCATGATGATTGTTTCCTGACCTGTGAGAACAAATTATTCACACTTTATTCATTTGTAACACTGCTTAATATGTTTAACTAAGAATGAACTCACTCAGCATTGATCTGTAGCTAAGGCTTTATATGTATATCTACAGCAACAGGGTATCTTTGCCATAAAAAAAACTAAACTTTTGTTCATTTTTGACAGTTTTTAAACAACAAATGGTGCCATGAAGACCAGCTTCTCAGCCCACCTTTAATGGTAGCAACTTCATAAAAGTTTAGACGACCGGCCTTCACGAATAGACTTAAAATCGGGTGCTTTGTTCTGACAACTCAGCTACGAGAGTGAGGGCATTCAGACGGACGATTAAAAGAATTAAACTGAAGATTTAAAACAGTGAATTAATTATCTTTATAGATTACATGTTTTTGACATTTGTATAAATACTGACCAGTAGTGAGAACGACAAGCTCTTCATCAGGACTCCAACTCATCGAGGTCAGGCCGCTGTCCACACTGCCAACACACTCTAACTGTGGAACCATCACACACATTTTATAAGGACCCTCATTGACATAATGCATCCCCTTACCCCTTATACAAACGATCTCTAACCTTAACACTAAAGCCAACTCTTATCTGCCAAACCGCTGTAAAAGTCGGTCCTAACTTTCCAGCCTGTCTGTGCTGCTAACCTGGCAGGTCTTGAAGTTGAAGAGGACGACGTCGCCGCCAGCCGTGGACAAACATGCCGACTCCAGTTCAGCCAGGTCCTGCAGCCCGACCACCGTCCCGCTGCCGTCCTCCGGGAGGAAACCCTCAGCCGTCAACGAGGCCTCGCTGACCACCTGCAGATCAGAGTAAAGTGGATTCCTGATTGAAATGCGGCACTTTTCCTTTGTTATTTGTTTAAAATTGCATCTCCAAACACGTTACTACCCTCAACAAGACAAGCTAAAAGAAATGAGTAAATAAAGCTGGTATGCTGTTTGTCTCCTCCGCACAGCATGTCTTCCCCAGCTCACCTGGCCAGTCCGTGGGTCATACTCTGTGATGGAATAGTGAGAAGCGACCAGCAGCGAGCCGGTGTCGGCCCGCACAGATACACACTGAGGGGAGCCGGGACCCTGCAGCTCGGAGCTCCGCAGGCTCTTCAGCAGCTTCAAGTTCCGCATTTTACCTCAGGACCGACTGAAGAACACACGGAGCCGGAGTCTGGACCCAAAGGCTGCAAAACACAGGAAACAGCAAAAAATGTTATATGTTCGGTACTGAAACCATTGATATATATCTGTGTGATGTATCAGTACAATATCATTACTATTGTGTGGTCTGTATTAATGAACAGAGCCTCTACATGTTTGAACAATCATTTCTATAAAGGGTGTTTTTCAGTGTTTGCTTTTATGGAATATATTCTATAAGCACCAAGAATAACTCCTAAATATATTATTAGCAACATTGAGATATTCAGACACCGGTCTTGAGCACAGCCCTGTTGATTTAAAGTTAGTAGTTTCAGATTTGGGGACTAAAACAGCCTGTATTTTTCTGCTGTTATGGGGAGAAATCAAATGAATCAATACAATGAGAGCCATACTGTATATTCTCTCTCTTGTTTGTTGCTAACACAGCCACTACTTTAACGTTTCCATTGTCGGACACAGCCCTGACAAACTCTTAAGTATATGTAATAAACTAATTGGATAACAAAACCCCTATTTAAATAGTAAACGGCATAAAGACAGGTTTGTTATCATATTTGGCATTAATTCTACATATTCAATTGAGTACTTTCTTCTTCCAAGTTACCTGTTAGCCAGTTTCCTGAGTTTGTTCCAGCTTTACAGGGCAAACTGATGGTTTTAGAAGTAAAGACTACAGGGTGTCCGAAGATGGAACTGTGTGCTAGCTTACATTTCAACTAGCTAAAAGGAGCGAAATGCTAACTAGCGTCAGTAATCCGACCGAACAGACCGACAGAGAACGCTTTGGAACTTAATACAATTGCAAGAAAACTGTAAAACTCACCGAGAAACAGACGGGAGTAATACAACCTTTTAAATGTCCAGCATCAACAACCATCAAGTCAACAACACAACAACACACATGCGGCGCTGTCAGCCGCATGACCTTTCACCTCTGAAGCAGTGACGCGAGGCTGCGGCGGTGGCGCCCCCTGGCGCTGTGGAGTAAACCGTGCAGTCAAGAAAACATTACCAACTTTTTCTCTTTTATTTGTCTGTATTACATCTTTGTATAAATTGCAAAATGAGAGAAAAGTTAAGACCCGAAGTATCTTTAGGATTTATAGGATTAGGGATTAAAACTTTTTGAATGTAATTATGCATAACTGACCTAAAAACGAACTTTTTATTTCTATTGTAAGTCAACAGCTGCTTGTGTTACATTGTGTATTTTGATTTCATTCATGAGTTTTCTCTTATTTCTCATATATTTTTATCTGTTACTATATTTGTGTTCATGTGCTTTTAATAAAGGCAAAAACGTGTAGTGAATGGAAACTATTTTAACACACACACACACACACACACACACACACACACACACACACACACACACACACACACACACACACACGAACGCTATCATTATATCATTTTTCACAGTATGCTTTGGTTAAATTGATCAGCAGAACAATTTGTTGTCACGCTTTACTCTGAAATAAACACATATGTTGCCACTTTCAAAAGGCTTTTATTTTATTGACCGGATGTTGTGTTCGTTTGCTCTTGCCGCTAGCTTGACTGCTGCTGACTGACAACAGGTGAGCTGGAGTCCAGCGCTAGAAACGTTAAGAGAGAGCTCGAGACATCACGGCGGGATCAACGTTAACCACGGTGATGATGAGAGGCCGCTGACAGACAGGTAGACGTTTTTATTACGTTTTTATTACGTTTTTATTACGTTTTTATTACATTCGTCCGTTATTCTCTGCGGTCTTTATCCCAAACACAAGGCTGCAGACACACCGCATCATTCCCCACACGAGGGGTTTGCCTGTTTATGTTTCTATGCTGCACATAGAGATGAACACACGAGCGAAGGAAACGCTCCAAACCATAAACAAATCTATAAGTGTGGTGTTAATTGATTTCATTGAAACCAATGGAAGCCTGAGGCTCATGACATAGATATATTATGAGCCTCAGGCTTGCATTGGTATCAATGAAATACCAATACAGATGTAAATGCTCATGGTGCACACATGTTATATACAATCTAGAGTGTGTGTGTTAAATGTGCACATATAACTCTAAATGATGATGCATTTTATGTCACAAACATGTATTTTAAGTTTCCATAATCTATTTTAATGTACATTCATCTTCATGACTTGTTAGTTTGTAACATATAACATGTGAAGCTATGATATATATCAAGACATTGTATTTATTATTGGTATTTAATATAGATATAATGAATATGCAGTTATTTTTTTGTCAGATTTGAATCAAATGGTGACAGACAGGAAGCCTCAGAGAGATAGCTGGTGCTATTACACAGCAGACACACAGTCTGGTGCTATTACACAGCAGACACACTGTGTTCTGATATGAACAACGATGTTTAGTCTGAATGCGTTTGTTTAATGTCACTTCTCCAGTGATTAGGAAGCCTAGGGAGCCGTGGTGGTTCCTTCTCCTTGAGCTGCTTCTTGTGTCCGGAGTGGAACTACACCGGGAGAAGAAACTTCTTCTTCTTGTTTTGTATATCTTGCATAACTTATTGTATAATCTGTAATCTGAGTCAATCTCTGCCAGATCGTATTGATTATGAGCATGAAAGCTATCGTGATTGTGACCATTTTGCATCCCTGATTTGCCCCCTGATAGCCGGCCTCACATGTCCGATATCAAAGACTGTCAAATAATAGTTTCTCTTTTAGCACACTGCTAACCCTAAACTATGTTGTGACATGTATGTGCAGCAGCCAGGAACTAGACCAACCCTGCAATCCCAGCTAACGTGGTTCTACATTTAGCCTTCTTACTGAGACATCACTCCACCCAGCTCTGACTCCTCTCTCTCTCTGCTCCTCTTGAATCACCGTCAGTCACCCTCTATTGCTCCTCCAGTCCAAGGAGCTCTAGAGATCATGTGTTGAGCAAGATTTCCACACATTGATATTTATCTGATGGTATTTTCAGCACGGCCGGTTTATCCGTCTGGCTCTACTGTCAACAACAACAGAGCTGGAGTAAAGCCCAAAGTGTTCAGCTTGAAGCCTCATTGTTCTGCAGCACACCTTAAGTTGTCTTCAGGCCAACACAAGTCAGCTGATAACAGAAACCCGTCCCGCTGCATTCCTCCCCGACATACCGATACGACGATGATTAGCCGCTGCATTTCTGCCTCCTTCATTCCAGACTCACGGAGTCTGACTGCAAAGAATCCCGTCATTGTCTCAGGCTTCATGCTGGCATCTTATTCTCATGACTCTCATAGGAGCACACTGAGACGGCCGTCTGAGTCCGTGTGTTTGGCTCATTGTGGTTTTACAACAAATCATCTAAAGGTGAAGCACTAGTACAGATCGTTTCAGTGGGATTGCATTACAGCAGTTTGCGTTGTCTTTTCCTTCTGTTGTCTTTTGCTGCTTTAAACGCTGCATGATGCCATTTTCTGTCTTCTACATTTGCCTTTACCCAGGTAGTTAGACCGAAATAGAAATAATAGAAGTTATGGTTGATAGAGATGACAGATTGATCTCACGATGTGGAACCAAAACCAGTGAAGCTGCTGAAGCAGTCTCTGAGAATCTAGCAGCTCCGAGTTACACTGTGAATGATCTCAGGTAACGTAAATACACTTACGTATCATAAAAGCAGCATTTTACCAGGCGGCTGCCACAGTGTCAGGTTTCTGTCTCTGTTCCTCAGAACGTTTTTGTCACATCCACTGCAGTCGCCTCAGTGGGTCAGCATCATGTCTTTCAACTGTGTCACAGCTGATCTGGATAATCCACAGATCTTAATATGTTTCTTATGATATCAGACACTTTTATGAGGACTATCTCTGATGTAGAACGTCGGTGGGCCGATGGATATCTCAGCATCTATTGGATGGTTTGCCGAGACAGTTGTTAACGTCATTGATGTCCCCCCTTGTGATGAATTTTAACTACTTTGGTAATCTCTTAATTTTCTACCGACATCATCAACCTGCAAAACTTAAGACGTTCCCATGAGCCCAGTTGTCAAGCAGTAATTTGCAAATGCTAACATGCAAACTTAAGGTTGTTAATCAGGATGTTTCATTGTCTTTACGAGCAGCATGTTGATGCTAGCATTTAGCACAAAGCACCGTTGTGTCTGAAGCACGGCCTCACACAGCCTGAGGCGTAGCTGCAGACTCTGAAGTCTTCTTCGGATGCATTTTTTAAATGCTTTTGGCGACCCAAGTGAAATTCTCCTCCAAAGTATTATGACTATTTAACAAGCATTCACACAGCTGGCCACGCACCTTCTTTCATTGTTTTGTTTAATTGTTTCAGATAAACTACACCCATACATCTTTTACTTCCGGCTGAAGAAATCCAAAGGAGTGAGCTGTAAACCTCCTTTTGTTACCTTCCACCAGACAATCCAGACATTCCCTTTGCAATCTGGATAAGGATGGGACGTCCCGCAGTGCTTTTGTTTCCTGTGAGAGGAAAACTTCAATCACCTCAACGCTCCGTCTTCATTGGTCCGTGCAGCGTTTCATGAAACCTCTCGAGGTGTCGTCCTATTGGTTCCTCACTCCACTGTGAAGACCTGTCAGCCAATCAGCACGCGCCTGGGTGAGTGCCACTTCCTCTTCCCACCAGCTGCTGCAGTCAATCAGCTTATTCAGCAGCATGAGTGTGTGTGTGTGTGTGTGTGTGGTCACCCTTTCCTCCCCCTCACCTCTTTTTCCTCTACAAAATAACCGGCCCACCCTCCTTTCCACTCCCATCCCCCCTGTCCTCACACACTTATACACTGTTATTTTCCTCTCTCACACGCACACACTCTCCTGAATATACACTCGCACACTCATGCCACATGAGGCTCAGCAGCAGCCTGCTGTGTGTGAGTCAGTGGAGAAAGTTACACCAGTGTGTGTGTGTGTGTGTGTGTGTGTGTGTGTTAATGCAGCAGCGTCTCCTCTGCAGCAGATTTCTACTTGAGTTGGGACAGAGCACAACAACACGGACACACAGAGAGAGAGAGAGAGAGAGATCGAGGTTCACCACAGCTGAATCCAGGATTCTGCACAAGGTAACGATAGCCTGAGCTCATGTAAATGTTTTAACGATACTCTGTCACCGTGATGCACAACGCCGTCGTCAGGACGGGGGAGAGTTTGCTGCGGTTGTGGTCTCAGCCTGGAGCTCTTGTTTTTGGGATGTAAAGAAAGTTTCTGCCCTCAGGCTGTGACTCCAGAGTCATTTTGAGCCATCATTTTAGCACCGTCATGGTTTAGAAAGGTATATACTCTTATGAATACTTTACTTTTAGAGTTCTAAAACATGTTTTTCTACAAGCTATACTTAATATTTAAACAAAGATCTAAATTGTTAGATTATGTCCAGAACTTTGCCTCAAAGTTTAGAGCACAATTCAGATTTAATTGGGGAACAATCTGAGCAAGCAGGTGTTCGATGCCAGCTTTTAATAGTTTTGATTATTGCTGCAGATTGATTTCCGTCAGTACTAATGCAGTACTGAAGTTTGACACGGAGGCTCTCGTGGTTATCCCCAACTCTGGGGCACCATATGCTGCTAAAGCCCTCAAGCCTTTGTTGGAGGGAGAAGATAAATCTGTGGATTAGATCAGAATGAAGGACTTTAATAACATTAAAGTGGTGGACACCTAAATAAATACAATGCAGTCCAGTCAGTCAAGCCATACAGATAATAAAACAGAATACATGTTAAGGTGCGGAGCATTTCTATAAGAAGCACCAAATTAACAAAGCTACCAAGTACAGCCTTCAATAAAGTAGCAGCGGTGCAGCGTGTTCATAGATAGTTGTACAGTATCAGATTGTTTTATTAGGGCTGGACTTTGAACCTCTAGTATCATTTAATCATCAGTCAGAAATGAAAGCGTCGTTAGAGTCCGTCCTTCAACGCCACACACACACACACACACACACACACACACACACACACACACTCTGAAGGCTGCTCAGCTGAACCACGTAATGGCTAATTGTCCCAGCGGTGGCAGCATTAGTCGCTCTGTAAGCAGCCTGCCAGCCTCCTGGTGGGTCAACAACATGTGGCGTTCCAGCTCAGAGGGTCCGTGACAATACCCCCCCTCTGTGTTTGTGGGAAGTCGACAGCATAAACAAAGCAACTGACCCGAGGTGTCTCTTTAAGTCCCAGCAATCTGTATGGACTTTTTAAAAGTATGTTTTTCTTGATATGTTCGATGCCAAAGCGGCTCATTTACATCAGTTTGTGTGTGCCGACTAAAACCTTCTGCACATACAACAACAATAAACCTGGTTTACTGCAAGACTCAGGCAGCTTCATGGGGCTAACGAGGAGGCCTACAGAGGTGGGGACAGGATCCTGTACAACCAGGCCAGGAACACACTGACGAGGGAGATCAAGGTAGCAAAGAGGAGCTACACTGGAAAGCTGGAGAACAGGTTTCCAGCCAACGACCCCCCCGTCAGTGTGGAGAGGCCTGCAGGTACTCACCAACTACAGCAGACCACCCCCCACTGAGGAGAACCACCAACTGGCTGACGACCTGAATGTGTTCTCAAACAACCACCTACACCCCCTGCCTCCTCCTCAGCTCTCCCAAACGACCCCCCCCCACCCCCCCGCCACCGGCACTGAGGATCTGTGAAGAGGATGTAAGTCGGCTCTGTTATTGTACATCTGGTACATCTGGAATGAGGACATTCGACACCATGCAGCGCGTGTCCTTCACAGGACAGTCAGAGGGTCAATAATGGGGGAAACTTAAGAATGGTGTGCTTCACAGTGGGAAAGAACAAACGATGGGTTCCTCTTCTTCCATTTACCGCACTGAACACGATATACTCTCTGCTGCTAAGTATCAAAAACTGCTTTCATAGTGTTTAAAAGATGTATAATAGTGACTATAAATAAGATACAGAGTTTGAACATGAAAACCCAGATCGTCTAAAGAGTGTTTCTCTCTTTGACAGCGGTCTCCAACATGGAGGTCCCCAGGAGGCCTCAGCCCTCCTCCTTCACACTGGCTCTCCCTAAACCGGCCTCATCCGCTCTGTCGCCCCTCGGAGCCGCAGAGAAGGTCGCCAACAAAGACCCGAGGAAGGAGAAGCTCCAGGAGAAGAACGACGATGGAGCCGCAGAGAGAGATCAGTTTGGAGAGGAGACGTTCAGCACCGAGGAGGAGCTCAATATGTCGGCCGAGACCTCCGAACCTGTGAATACAAATACCTCCGCCCAGGAAATAAATGTAAGACTTTCCTCACTGGATAGTTTCTCAGAGGAGAGCTCAATGTCAGAGGAGCGGATGGCAGCGGAGGCCGAAGAGGCCAGAAAGAAGTGTGAAGAGGAGGAAGCGGCGGCTAAAGAGAGGGCCGCCCAGAGACAGATGCTGGCCCTCGAGGAGCTGGTCCAGTCCGAGAGGAATTACCTCCGACTGCTGCAGCTCAGCACTGTGACCATCAGGAGCAACCTGCAGAAGCTACAGGTACGAACCAAGTCTCAGTGGAGAATAGTAGCACCGGAATGGAAAAGTTAATACGACTGAAACTGTTGTATTCTATCGTTTCGCCTGTGAAATGTCTTGAGAGCCCGAAGTGGAAGTCTTCACATTGATTGGGCTCTCAGTTGTCGACAAGCGATCTATCGTGTGCAGGACCTTTATTTTATTGGTTTATTTATTTAGCCAAGAGGCCATTTTAAAAACCTTTCTTTCATTAAATAATAAGTTGTACGTCTCAAAGTGGCAGCAACTTGAAAGCCTTTGTTCTTCACAATGTGTAAATGTTACTGTGGTGCTCCGTTACAGTATTAAAGGCTGTATTTACGGGATTCATAGCATATAATCGTACAGCAGCATGAAGTCTGTCCTACCATCTACCACCACATGACCCCAAAGGTGTGTTTGGTTCCTACTGCTGCAAGTTGTATTAAAATATCCTTCAGTCAATTTTAGTTCTGTGTTCTGAATTTCTATTGTGGAACAACACTTTTGATGGGGCCTTTTAATTAACATGTAATCACCACATGTTGAGTTGGTCCTGCAGCCTCGAGGTTTATTGTCGCGTTAGCTTTTCATTACTTGTCTGAGGTATTGCTTATTACTGCTAAATAATCATTTATTTTCGCGGCGGTAATGAAATGAGGCCTCGTAAAACATAATGGCATCGGGCTTTATGGGCCGGAAGGACTGAGCTGTGGATGAGCATGAAAATGATAAAAGGAAGCGAGGGAACGGGAGATGAAGGGAAAGAGACTGAAACAGAAATAAAAAGGAGTGGAAGGGCTAAACTATGGGCTGATGACGTGTTCAGGGAGATGAACTGGTGAATGGAGGAACAGCTGATGAGATGGACATTAAAGATGGAGGTTTGTCCTTGTTATGTGCCATTGTCCAATGTGTGTTAGGAATGTAAGTTACGCAACATGACGGATGGAAGAAGGACAGACGGAGAGAGACGGAGGAATAGAATAGACATGTGAGTGAATGGTGCCATTGTGAGACGGGAGAGATGCTGGTTCGTTTTCTGTGCAGATTGTTCAGTGTTCCGGCCGTGCCCACCACGAGCATCTCATCAGAATACAACAGAGACAAACAAAACGGCCCGTCATCAGCTCCGCGTCACACACAATCACACGTTGCACAAGATAGACATTTCATTTGAATAAATGTGGATATTTCTTGTACTACTTTTGTAGAGGCAAATGATTGTGTCTCGTCGAAAACCTTCATATTTAATCAAATCTCCTTCTTTCTGCCTGCCCGTCCACCACAGCCTCCTCCAGCCAGCCTGGACAGCATGTTTCTCTACATCGAGGAAGTGATGGACGTGTCCAGTCGACTCCTCAACCTGCTGGACCAGAAGCAGGTTCAGCCTGGAGACCCTCACTTCCTGGAGACACTCTGTAAGGGGATCACTCTTTCACTCTTTATTTCCTGACAACATGAGCATGTTCAGCCTTCCAGCAGGAAGTGGTGGCAAGATAGCTGCTGGTTTCACAGAGGTTTTCTCTACTTAGATCATTTGCTCTGATCACACATGTTGACAGGAAACACACAAAACCTTCACACGTCTTTGTTATCGGAGGTGGTTTTCACATTCATGTGGGAAACGAGTTCACGCTGATAAATCCACACCAAAGGTCTCTGCATGTGGTGGTGGGTGCAGTCAGAGTTGTAGTCTGTCCAAATTTTATTTGATCCTGTTAGACATTTGTGTGAAATTGTCATAATTGGCATATAAATTAATGAGTAACGAGGTCCCAGTGACCTTTCACCACCAAATTCTAATCAGTTCACAATTGAGTCCGACGTTTGTGACAAATCATTTTCCATACAGTTTGATTTGAGTCTTTATTCACATCTAATATGTCAGAGGTAACCTGGACACAATCAAACCTGACACACATGTTCATAATAAGTAGGCGGTATTGTCAATGTGACGGTGCAGAAGCCAAAAATAAATATTTTCACACTTTTTAAATACAGGTGCAAGTAGAAAGTGGTGATCTGGAAGGAAGGAAGAGAAAGTGAAAGATGTTTTTTATGTCCTTTAACAGCATTCGATAGTTTCTCAGCTGTTGATTAAATTTGTCTGCCTGATGACAATGACGACACTGAAGTGGACAATAAGAGAGTTGTTCGTCACACAGTCTGTGGTTCTTCATCATCAGTCACTGACAGCATGGATTGTGTTTAACATGATGAGCGATCTTTCTTATTTGCAATAATCAGTTTATTAAATGAAGAGTACAACTAGTTTGCTTAAGATAGAATCACTATTTATTTTAAGCATCCGTTAGCATTTTAAAGTTTGTACTTCTTTTTGGTGCTCTTAAAAACCAAACTGAATACCCTTGTGTTGTGAACATGATTTCTATGTGTAAATAAGTAGGCGTATGTTTTGCCTCCCTGACAGGTGACTCGTTCCTCAGCCTCTCCTCAGACATCGAGGTGGCCTACAGGGAATACCTGGCCAACTACACCCAGGTGACGGTGCTGGAGAACAGCTACAAACAGAAGGAGGCGCTCTGGAACGACATCGTCGGAGTCATCAAGACCTCTGCGTAGGTTTTCTGTTTGCTTCACACGTATATATTTGATACGGCTGCAAAGATGAAATTACACCTGGATAAACAATAGACCTAACGTGTCGTTGATTTCGATCTCCAGGCCCGAAATAAACGCCACCTCTCTGAGTTTCTTCCTGGTGATGCCGGTGCAGCGCATCGCCCGCTACCCGCTCCTCCTGCAGACCATCCAGAAACACACGGACAGAACCCACCCAGCCTACGCACTTCTGGAGCAGACCGCTCACACCTCCATCGCCCTGAACTGTCGCATCAATGAGTACAAACGCTTCAGAGAAGTTGGTGAGAATACTGTCATGTATTCTAGATTATTATACATCTAAAGTCAAGCATTCAGTCCCCCATGTGGCAGAACAGGGAGAGAGCAGAGTGCTTCTTTAAAGCACATTTCTTTCTTCCACATTAACTTTCCCTCTTTCTGTGATTGTAGCTGACAAATACAAGAAGACAGAAACCCTGACCATAAAGGACAAGATCAACCGCCTCAACACCCACAGCATCGCCAAGAAGACAGCGAGGCTCAGCCAGCACATCAAACACGAGACTGGGATAGTACCTAAGGTAGGATACAAGCTTGATGGCACTGGTTTAAATAACAACCGCCCTGCTGAAGTGTCCTTGAGCAGCACAAGGAACACGTTACGTTTCATGGTGCTTGTGCCTGAAGGTAACTCACCCAGGCCTCTGAGGAATAGATCATCTTCCAGTAGACACGCTCCCTCCAGCTGCAGTGCAGTGGTTAAAGATTAATCTGTGCTTTACCTGCAGGGACGGTGTATTATATGACCTGTTATTGAAGCTGCTGTATGCTCTGGCCTGCTACACCCGTCAGTCCACTGTCAGCTCTGATCAAGCATCCTCGCATGTCTCCTGTGGCCTTCTTTTAATAGCTGCTCACAGGATGACATTTTCCTACGTTGCCTTTTGATCTATTTTTCACATTTCTTATACAGTATGTAGGTTGCAGGTGCGTTGTATGTAGAATATAAAGGAATCACACTGCAGGAAAACAGTTTCTGTGCATAATCTGTGCATTCATTCAGCCATTGAAAGCTATTTGCTCTAACTCTGATATAAAACTAGAGCTGCTCGGCCTCGGAGGACAGAATGGATTCGTAGCACCGTTCCCATTTTAATGATGAACGTTGTAAAACTCAGAAGGAGAACGTTAACGAGCGATGTGTCTAGAAATCATCAGGACAAAATGTACCAATGTTGCATAACTGCACTTTGATAAAAGTGATTATATTTAAAAAAAATCTAATGGTAGCTTCCTAAACTACGTTCTGATCCAGAAATCTGACATCTTGCAACCAAAGTAAATATAAAGCATATAGAGAATATTTTCTGTCTTTATTATTTACTGTATGTAAGCGTTTAACTGACACTTAAATGATTCGTATAAAATGTTCTTTGAACATTAAAATCACAAGTAACCAATAGTATGCATTGGGATGCCGTAGTCATTGTGACCTCAATGTATTATAAATAAAGACTGAGAAGATGTGACTTTTTAAAGTGCTGCTATACAGGGTGATAAAGCCCTTTTTATCTCATTGCATGACAAACGTTTGTCTCCCTGCGTGTTGTTCTCCAGCTGGTGGACGAGGAGTTTGACGTTCTGGAAGGTTTCTTCTATGTTCTTGAGCACGGGATCCTGGAGCTCCTTGAGAACGTGGAGACGTACCTGTACCACCTTCAGGTAGGCTGCATTTCTTTCAAGTGACGCTAACTAGTGGATAGTACTTCATCTGAGGCTGATACACAATGAGGTACAATCCAGAGTCTGTCCACAGTTCTAATGTACGCTAAATTTAGAAGGGTGCTCCAGCCCGTCCTGAGACTTGACCAGGACACTTCCTGGTCACTTAAGACCAGAGGAGAAGTGGAACATAACTGGATATTTATTCTTAAACATGTCGCCATGTGTTCCTGAGTCACACTGTGCAAACTCGGAGGCCCCTGAGGTCAAAACACATGAGTTTCTGTGTACCTTCCCCTCTAAAATGATCCCAGGTTGAAGCTGCTTTTTCCTCTTTCTATTCCCAACCAACAAGGATCAGCACTGTATCCTCCTCCTCTTTTATTTTCCTACTCATATAAGGCCTGTTCTTCTGTTGTCCTCTTGCTGTAATTATTGACAATTTTCTTGTAAATCCTCAAAGCAACTTCTCTTAGCGACCTCTATTCTGGACCTGGAAACCAGAGAACAAAAAGCAAACTATAAATTCTGTTAACTCGCTATTTATTATCAAGAAATGAGCCTATCGGACATCAGAGACCTGAGCAGGGTTTGACAGCTCCTCCTCCTTCTTCTTTGTTGGTGTGCAGCGGTTCCTGTCCTGCAAAACAGAGGAGTTTGACCTGGACATGGACGGAGAGAAGGACCCTATTTGTTACAAGGAGATCTCGACCGCTCTCAGACAGTGGATTCTGCCTACATTTGTGAGTCTACCCGCCATTCTCATACCTTACGTTTTTTTACTTAAATACCTCAGTAAAACAAATACTACAAGCACATTTGCTGCATATTTACTTGCACTAAAGTTAAACATATAAAAAGTATCTAAAGAAAACACCCTGCTAGTCTGAGTCGATAGTTGCGTTTACCAGCACAGCATTTGTCTGACGATAACCATCATCGACATTTCCATTGCAGGAGAAGAGGATGAGGACGTTGATCCACAAGCCGCTGTGTGCACTCCGTGACCTCCTGGTGGGCCCGAGGAACCTGATCAGGAAAAGGCTGGACAAGCTGCTCGACTACGAGTTGATCGAAGCCAAATCCAACCTGAGCTACGAGGAACAGGATGTGGCCAACACGTACAGGTAGAGAGAGAGAGAGAGAGAGAGAGAGGTGTAGAGGTAGAGAGACAGAGGTAGAGGTAGAGAGAGAGAAACAGACAGAGAGAGGTAGAGAGAGAGAAACAGACAGAGAGAGGTAGAGAGAGAGAGAGAGACACACAGACAGAGGTAGAGGGAGACAGAGAGACAAACAGAGAGAGAGAGAGAGAGAGAGAGACAGAGGTAGAGAGAGAGACAGAGAGAGAGAGACACACACAGAGAGAGAGAGTTTGTTAACTACAGGCTGGACTTCCACCGTGGTTTGGAGTTTGTGTTCTTTTTATTTGTCTGATTTTTAAGCATCTTTTTTTAGTGCGACCACCAGTTTTGTCATACAGTTTAAGTCGACTGTGATCCACTTTAATTGTAGCTTTCAGCTATTTCACTCTTAACTTCTCCACCAACAAAGTCCAGGCTTCTCTGAGTCAAGCGTGTCGAGTCAGACAGTGGCTCTATTTGAACGATCACGGTCTATCTGATCACACCCTGATGTTAAGATGAGGGTGAGCCCGATCAATGAAAGGATTAAACAATAGTTAAATCCCAAATGTTGGGCGTCGCTCACTTAAGCTTACCTGTAAACCTCTCCTCTCCTCACAGGACAATCAACACGTTGCTCCTCAATGAGCTCCCCCAGTTTAATGGCTTGGCGCTGCAGATGATCTGGAGCATGCTGGGGACGTTCAGCTGTCTGCACAAAGACCTCGCCTCCGACATGGAGCAGCTCTTCCAGAGCTTCGCCCAGCAGGTGATCTCATACGCACGATGTTTTATCCACACGGATAAAGATGAGACTTTTCAAAATGTTTAATCGAAAAAACTTTTGGTTTTAATTTTTTTTTCTTCCAGCTTCCTCACAGCTCTCTCAACCGCAGTGCATTCTGGGAGTGGGCGGAGTGTGCTGTGCTTGAAGGTGCGAGGAGGATGGAGACTTTGTGTCGAAGTGTGGAGGACACGCTCAACGCTCCCGCCGCCCAGGTGGGTACAGATGGAGCTGAGGTAGTTGACGTGTCACAAGTGTGCTTTGTTGGCTTGTTGACCAGGAATGCTGGGTAATTTACCTCATTAACCCTCTGAAGCCCAGGCCTAGTTTTATAAGTCAAAGGTAGACGGACACGGTGATCGACGGACCGTAAAAGAACAATATCATCAAGACAACAGTGAGCACAATAAACGCATTAGAGGACGTGTCATTGGACACCTGAGCTCCGTAATAAAACAACAGGTGCATCAAACCTTTTATCTGCTTAATAGGCATTGACATGTTGGATAAAAAACATTTACACAACACTACATGTTCCAAAATAGAAAGGTGTCACAGAAGGTGAAGGACAAAATGTCCCAAGAGACACCAACGTCCTGTGCAAAAGTACCAGGCATGAAAGGCCACATTTACAAGTCTTTAAAACCTATTGTTTACCTCTACATTGATCACAATATAGTAGTCTTATTATTAGTATTTCATTTATACTACCTGCTACACGTGTTGGTTCCTGTTTTAAGTAAAAACCAGACAAAACTGCCATTATATTCTTACCCGTCATACTTACCTTACCACTGGAATTTAACTCTATGAATGCTATATTACTAATAATATTGGTGTGGCCTGATCTTTATCTGCAACTGTGCAGAAATACTGGCTTTATAAACTGATTAAATAAACATGCAAAGCATTCAAATATTGATTTAGAATTTGAATGTCAAACTTTTATGAATGAAGCTTCAAAAATAGTTTAAACCAAGCCAGCATTGTGGCTCTAGGAACACTTTGGTCTTGCTCTCAGATAGATTGCCTTAATAAATAATTATAGACATTGATGGTCCCCAGAGGATGAACCCTAATTACACTGATCCCCTGACTTCTCATCTTGCACCACCAGCAGGTTAGTTCACGACTCTAGAATAGCAGCAGTGTTGTATTTGTTGAGAGGACAGTGACTCAACAGGTGTCTTCATTACTATGTCATGATTACTCCTTTGGTTTCTTGATGTCATTGAGCTAAACACATCTCTCTAACTAAGTCAGGTTCTTTAAAGCCACAGAATCAACAGGTTGCAGCCGTGTCATAATCACTTTGAGGTTTATTCTAATAATAACCTTGGTGTGGACTCTGAACAGCTTGTGACAGATGATACACATTATCTACTGTGCTCATCGCTGTCAAACATGTTGTACGAGATGAAGAATGTGCCAAGTCATCACAGCGAGTCATACCTGCAGCTTTACGTCACTCACAACAACACATCAGTCACAGATGAGAAGATTGTGACTCACGTATCCAGCGACAGGAAACGCTTAATGGTTTCTCTAAGAGGACTTTACTCAGCCTGCTGCCTTTAACTGTCTCAGACCTTTTATTCATAATGTCAACAAAGAGCTCATTTAAAAGAGTATTTAATTTACAAATATGAAGGCCTCAAAATACTGGACATTGATTGGTCAACAGCAGCATCTGTTAAATGAGATAAACCTGCTAAATTGAGGCTTTCTGTATTCCGTTAGAGGCTGAGCATTACTAGAATGACCATTTTCTACTCTGGCCTTTCTCCTCCTCTTCACCTTTCTCAGGGCTATTTAAATATTGAATCTATTCACTCTACCTTCTCTTTCTCCTCATGTTTTTTTATTCGGTCAGCCTCTGAGTCCATCGTCTCAGCGCCGTCTGAAGCAGCTGACCGGTAAGCACGGTTCTGGGAAGATCTACCAGGTGATGGGGACGGTGGTGGGCAGCCGGGACCTGGACCTGAACCTGGCCAGAGGAGAGCTGGTGGCCATCATCAGTGAGGCGGACACCCGCGGAGACAAACGGAGATGGCTGGTCGATGCAGGAGGTAAGAACCAACATGGTGCTACTGGGTTACTGGTTCAGACCTTTTGGTTTTTTACAAATTTGTACAAATTAGTTTGAGAGTAAGAACCATTAACCAGAGTTTAATTGAATGAGTAGCTGCTAGAAACCAAAGAATAATAGATGCTGCAGATGTTGCCGAAAGAAATATTCCAATGCAGCTTTTGTTAAATGTGACTATTTGGCGCCATCTTGTGGGGGTTACGTGTCACTGCAACTAACCAGATATACACAGGTACAGTTGTACTAGTTGATTAGTAAACTAGGCACATTGGCAGATAGGTGGCTAATTTTAGTTAGTGGACATATTATGAAAATGGAATTGGCTTCAAGAACCGTTTGATTTTTGTTCGTATCAGATGTTGTTAGTGAGATTTTAGGGTTTTGTTTCTGTTTGATTTAACGTTTCAAAAAGATTCCATATAAATTAGGATTTATACTAAGATCTCTAAGTGCTGCTGACTAAATGTTACAAAAGTAGATAATGAAAACAGTATTTTTGATCATTGATGAAACATTTCGTAATCCTCTCGTCAGCTTGGGCTCTGGAAAAGTGTCCATTTTTATACATTTTCTCATATTTTTAAATCAAATAATGAATTAATTCACTGAAAAAATCTGCAGATCAATCGATAGTGAAAACAATTGTGAGTTGCAGCCCTGACATATATAGTAACCTTTATCTGCGTATGTTGCACGCAGGCAGACGAGGGTACGCTCCTTCCTCGAAGCTGATTCGCTATCACCAGCCAACAGATGACCCGCCTCCTTCTCCACACCTGATGCTGCCTGAGGGCATGACGGCAATCAGACGACACTCCTACACCCCAGAGAGCCGGCCACTGACGGTCATGAGCCAGCCCTGCTTCCAGGTGAAAGATTGATTAATTGATTAATTCACTTATTGATTAATTGATTAATTCACTTATTAATTAATTGATTGAGTGAATGTACCTAAATGACGTAAACTTGACTGTCACTACACATAACTCTGCATATTAATGAGGTAGGAAGTAATTATCTTGATGCAAAGCTCCCTAATGACTCAAGATGCATAGTTCATGTTAAAACTACACCACCCAAATATGTAAGTGTTAAGTGAAATATTTTGACATTAACATTTTCTGTATGTAACAATCTGCTTATGTTATGGCCTCGTTAGTGAAATACACTCGTATACTTGAACGGCCTTCCATGATAATTAGCTCTGCTTTAAACAAGCGGCAGCCTCTGGTACTGAAATGTGAAGCGTCTTAAAGCTGCATTCTCTCTAGTGACCACCAGGGGGCGACTCCTCTGGTTGTATAGAAGTCTATGAGAAAATGACTCTACTTCTCTCTTGATTTATTACCTCAGTAAACATTGTAAACATGAGTTTATGGTCTCAATCTCTAGTTTCAAGTCTTTAATACAGCATGATGTTCATTTAGTACATTATGGTCCATTTAGAGTCTATGGCTGTAACTTGGACGTTACAGACTCGTGTGTGTGTGTTTATGTGTGTGTATCTAAAGCTTGTAACTGATCGATGTGACAGCACTCTGCAGCGGAAGCATCAATCTGTCAAATGTCTGACTGGTACTGTGTGTGTGTGTGTGTGTGTGTGTGTGTGTGTGCGCGCGTGTGTGTGTGTGTGCGTGCACATGTGTGTATGTGAGAGAGAATCCCTGCAAGGTCAGCCATCTGTGAGTGTAATCATGTGTGTTCCCATATCTGTAAGAGGCCACACTGGCATTTGTGTGTGTTATTAATGGAAAGGTCCATAATTGGCTGTTTAACCTTGTAAATGGGTCACTGTGTGAAGGGTTGAAGTGAATTTATACCGCACTGCAATCTGAGATTGTGTGTGTGTGTGTGTGTGTGTGTGTGTGTGTGTGTGTGTGTGTGTTGTGGGAATGATTTACATGTGCAGCACATGCGAGTGTGAGAGGCGAGTGTCGGGGCTTGTACATTTGTGATGGTTTATGTGGGTGTGTACACGGGAGGGAGGGAGATTTAGGTGAGTGGATGAGAAAGCAGTAATGCGTTCGTGTGTGTATGTGTCCTGGTACACATGTCTTTGTGAGGACCAGTTTGAGCTTTAGACCTTCAGAGTGAGGACATGATCACTTCTTCAAAAGCCTGTATGAGGGTTCAGACCTGGTCCTCAGGTTTAGGACAGAGTTAGCTTTAGGCCAGGGTAAAGGTTGGGGTGAGGCATTTAGTTGTGGTGTTAAAATGTGTAATGTGTAAAGCCACCTGCTCCAAAGAAATAGGGCCCATCACCTCACCTCTAGTACTCGGCCCATACAAGCTAAGGTAGCGACGTCTCCCGAAGCGGCTGCACGCTCTACTCTCAGTGAAGCAGCCTCTCGGCCGCCGGGACGACGAGACGACTCATTTTCCTGTTTGGATTTAATCCAACAAACAAACAAACACACACGGACCATGGACGTGTTGTTGACCCTCGGGACAGCTCTACTTCTGCGTCCTCTCATGTTGGACTGAGGACAGACTGGACGCTACACTGACTCACTATCACCTCTAGAGGAACAAGCGGTATTACAAGACAGGACGGGCCGGGGCTACCTCGGGGCTAGCTGGTTAGCGCGCTAAACTCAGAAGATATCTGCTACACAACACATGGACGTCTGTGACATAACGTCAACACTCTAACCTCTTCACATTCTGGTGATAATGTTGGTTCATGTGTAAATGTTTTAAACTGAAGATCTGAGAGTGTATTACTTCAATGTGTTTGTGTGTGTCTGTGTGTGTGTGTGAGATATGCCTCCATACCGCCCGTTAAAGTGAGTAATTGCTCCAGTGACCTTATATAGGCGTTTCTTCACGCCTCCTCCCAACGTTCATCCCTCATGACCCTGAGTCTGCTCGTATACAAAACACACACTCGCACACACACACGGGCAGGCTCTGCGTGCTTTTTAAGCATCTTTTCTCTCCTTTCTTCTCTTTCATCCACTCTAAAATATAAGTTTTCTAAATCGATACCGTTCTTTTGTTAGTGGCTGAGGAAACTAGAGCTGATGCATCACCGTCAACCTTTAAAGAGCAGCAGCCGCATTGAGGTGCCAAATTCATCTCGACTGTAACTTCCTCTGTGATCTGTGACAGAGAGAGTATAACAAACAATAATATTAACTTCTGTAGACACGCAGGCAGACTCGGTTAACTGTCTTTCTCTCACGTTTGTGGCCCCTCCATGTTGTCGTGTCCATATATTAACACTGAACGGCGCCGTTGAGCTACACCACGCTCCTCTCAACTCTTTATTTCATTTCCATCAGACACACAGCTGCGGCGAGTGTTCACCTGCAGCCGACGGCCGTGGCCACTTTACTTTATTTTCTCCTCCTCGTCTCTGCCCAAGCAAAATGCTAATTAAATGCTAATTAGTGTAGACCGTCAGGGCAGAGCTAATGTCGTAGCTGAGAGGTGAGCGGAGGTAAAGGGTTTGTTAATGACACCGAGCAGCCGGCTAAACCCGGCTATTAGCGCTGCTGCAGCACTCTGTCACTCCGACACGGGGCTCATTAGGGAGGTGTGTGTGTGTGTGTGTGTGTGTGTGTGTGTGTGTGTGGTTGTGTGTGTGCTCGCGTTTGTACCTGTGCGCATGTATCTGACGTCATGCTCATTTCTTGAAGTGCCGTGTTTTTGTGTGAGTTTTGTTCAATATCAGTGTGTTACTTGCGCCCTTAATTGTGGATCCAAACTGAGTCCTTTCATACTGGGTTTCTGAGTTTGATCCGATGTTTATATTTACTTAAATGTTGATGGAATATGTCTCATCCCTCTCTTCCAGGTGCTGGCGGCGTATAACTTCACAGCGAGAGGAAACCACGAAGTTTCTCTCTGGGCCGGCGAGCCAGTTCACGTCCTGGAGCCCCACGACAAACGAGGGAACCCTGAGTGGAGCCTGGTGGAGTCGAGAGGTGGGAAGAGAGGCTACGTGCCCTCCAACTACCTCACGATCACGCCTATGGGGGCCGGGCCACCCGGCACGTACTAGCCCCACTGCTAGGAGGGAAGGAAAGGAAGCATGTAGAGTACGACAGAGGATTCACCGATACCGTCTCCATTATTGTTTTTCAGTTTTAAGGCTGGATTGTTTTCGCTTATCTTCGGACTTGAGCTAGACCCACTTCCTGTGCAGAAGGAAAGTAGAAGTCGTCAAAATAATTTATTATGTAGCTCAGAATCACAAAGTGGCCTCGAATGGCTTTACAGCATAGAACAGCTTCTATCCTGAGACTCTTGATTGAATGAAGTAATGTCGTAACTGTTTACAAGTGAGGGCTTATCGGCCTGCTCTTTTTAGTGTTCGCAGTAAACGCGGAGCGAAAGCGTGGCGCAAATAGCTGCAAATAACGGGATGTGGAATCTGCTTAATATTTGCGTGAAGACATGTCGTTACTGAAAGTGTTAAATGGAGGAACAAATATTTTAGTATTGTCTATCTGTACAGAGACCGGTCAAAACTAAATGTGTTTAAGTGTCTGTGTATAAACTATAGACTGTCTATGATATAAATAGTAACGGCGCTGCCATATTTATAAAGCCCGGCACTGATCGATGCAAGCTGCATTCAGATAACAAGCGTTTTAAAAGTTGTCCGCTTGTCGTCTTGTGGACGAAGCTGACGAAGCATGCGTCAGACTTTTATCAAGTCGGTATTATTAGTTTACGTCGGCATCCTTTTTATCTGTTTATATAAGTGGAGAAGACAAAACGCTAGAAAGCCACCGATGAAGTGTAACGCTAGCACGTGTGCGACAGAAGGCCTTCACACATTTGCACTGTTGTGGCGTTTCGATGTGGAAAGTTAACCTGTGAAACACTCGTGGGCGAGGATTACCTTCCATACGTCGACAGAGCTTTAAGAACGCTCTGCTTCACCGTGGCCATGATCCCACAGAGTGCTGAATACATAAATAAATGTGGAACACTGGAAAGGAGGAAGGAAGCTTACAGCCCTGGTGCTGGTTAGCTATATGGTGCTTGCTCATGAGCACTTTGGACAGATGCTTGCTCTGCACCTTGAGGCTGAAGGACAATCTTCAACCATGGGTGACAGCTGACCTCTGATAGAAGAGATATCCCATGATCCTCTGCGGGACAAAAAGGACACTTGAATTGAAAAGGATAGCGTGCATGTTCTCATTAGTCCGTGTTTTAGCGAGCTAAAAGCAACGTGTGTGTGTGTGTGTGTGTGTGTGTGTGTGTGTGTTTTGAGTCTCCTCCTCACCTGGAGGTAGGAGCAGTATTGTATGGAGACTGACAGGTACACAGCGCTCTCATCATCTCAGACTGTGTGACGTAAATGTGAAATGTCTCCAGGGCCGAGCAGGAGAGATGAGGTGGGGGGGGTGAAAGAGTCAGAGCGACTATGGAAAAAGGATGTGAGAGAAAAGTTCCTCTTCCCTCCTGTCTCTGTAAAGGTGCCGTGTCACCGGTGCACTTTCCTTCTCTCAGCTCCTCGTGCAGTGAGACACTGAATCGCTCCGTAAGTTTTTTGGGGCTTAGAAAGGTTTTGATCGATGGATCTTAAATAGTACAGACGAGGACTGAAGCGACTTTCTTCCGTATTTAATGGGCGCCTGACGATGTGCCTCTCCCCGTGGCATCTCTTCCAGTCTGAAGGACTGTGGAGACATTTAGCTACAGCAGGATTTAAGCTGTTTTTGTTGGTTTAGCAAATGTTTGCCACAAAGTCTACAGATCTTCATGACAAGAAGAGACATTCTGTGCTGAAACAAAGTACCTTTCAAGGAACATTCTGTTTCTAGACATTTAACTTTTAAAGTGCAACATCCCAAGACAATCATTTCTCCATTCGTTTATTATGTATGATGCATTTATTTACAGCTAAAAGATCCGGATGTCAGCAGTCTCACCATGTTGGATGTAGAATTAACGCCTCACGGTCGTATAACACAGTCGAGTTTCAGTTTACATGCACGTCTGCCCAAAATCACTTCATCATTTTATCCTTTTAGACATTTGTATAAAATCTATAATTAACATTTCAACTCTTCAGTTCTGGGCAAAAATGTCTTTTGTGAGTTCATAGTGATTTTAAACACTTTTAAGAGATTCCTTATATGTTCATGATCGGCATGCTAAATAATGCAGCGACTTTATTCCAAAACAAAAATGGATTAAATGTGAAGAGCTTAAGCAGCAAAACGGTGTAACCCGACATAAAAAACACCACGAAGATCAAAATAGGCATCTAAAAATATTTATCTGTTTAGCCACTAAATCGGTATTTAAGATAAAGACGCGGTCAATTAATTGTAGTTGCCAGCCGGTGTCAAAATTAATAATAATTGCCCTGCTTTAAGAGTAGAATTTGAATCTCTTTTCAAGGATGAAGCGACTTTTAAATGTGTAAATTTGTAAATAACCTTTATTATCTTATTCTCCGTCCAACGCAGCGGCGTCTGCTTGACAGTGACTGCAGAAGACGTTTCCTGAAAGTGTGGTGTTTTGCATAGATCCAATGTACAGTGCAGCATCAGCTAGCAGAGGGAGGGAGCTGCTCAGCTGGAGCTGAGCTGCTCCCATTCGTCTGAATGTCAGGACGGAGCAGAGCAGCGGGAGGGACGGGGACAGTGTGTGTGTGTGTGTGTGTGTGTGTGTGTGTGTGTGAGATGTCACTAATATACCAAAATACCAAATGTCCTCCAGGGTTAGCACGCGGAAGGACGAGGAAGAAAATCCCCCGACACGACCACGTTGTACCTGCTTTCACCGCTTCAAAGGCCAGTTTAGGGCGAAAGGAACCATTAAATGTTGATAAAAAATAACATTAAACGCTCAGCACCCTCAACACACGTTTATGATACTTACACATTTTGTTTATCAAGATAATTCACTTTTATGGTTCTTGGAGCGTGAACACAATCACTAGAAAACACAAGCTAAAGTTAGGCTTTAAAAGAGTGTTCTCGTGAGGACGCTTAGTCGTCTCATTCAGACACTTTGAAGTAACCGCCTTTTTTAAGACACTTAGAATTCACCAGAGGGGTAATATCTGACGTATTTGATATCGTAGAACAAAATGTTTGAATCTCTTTATCTTGGCTTCACCACAGACCTTATTTCGGGCACTAACCAAAAACACTTCGAGACGAGGGAACCAGAAGTGCTAAAATGCTGACTCGACGCTGGGTTTTTAGGACTCATTACCTGCAGCACTCTATTCCACCTGTCTGGTATTTAATTGTAATCCTCATTAATGACAAACGAACTGGGAGAAGCTGCTTTTCGATGCTCCCTTCAATTTAGAATCTTATCATTTTTATTTTTCCCCGAGAAAACTCAACTTTTTCAAAACATGGCGAGCCATTCAAATATGAGCGAGTAGATGAAGTAAAGGGTGTGTTATCCCTTTCAAATTCACATGTAGGTTAACTTCCAGGTGTGTCAAGGAGTCATTTTACAGCCGCCCACCACTAGAGGGAGCAGCAGACCTGAGTCTGAGAGAGCCTGTATGCGTCAGTGTGACTGAGAAGTGCTTGAGTACTTTACCTTTGTCAGTATTAGAGCTGTACATTCAGTTCAGTTCACATGTGCTTTTTTATTGTTTTTTTATTAACCTGCTGAATATCTGGTTCTGCAGTCTGTACAGCATTCCTGTTTACAATGTTTTGTTCAGTAACTGACTTCTTTTAACTTATTAACTACCGCAGGGCTGCCTAACCATGAATCATGAAGTCTTTGAAGTTTTGCCAAAGTTGTGAAGTTGAACTCTCACACAGACACACACACAGACACACCCACACACGCGTGTATTCACACAGCAGATGGGAGTGTCCGCGGTGCAGCAGCGGTTCCTGTCAGGCCAGCTGTGAACTGACTGTGTGGCTTCAATAAAACTAAACAGAAACCTGCTCAGTGTCTTTGTGTCACCTCACATTAATATCTCAATATTTAGACGTTAACGACCACACTGGGATTATTGTTTGTAGATCAGGTCAGGTCTAGTTTCCAAATATTTTTCTTTTAACTGAACCCTCTGTGACTAGTGGTTATTTTCAGTATTGGTAGATGTTGGAACTCACAGTTAAGGACGTGGACCTCAGGGTCTACTGTAGTAAGATACTGCTCGTAATCAATAATGTCAGAACATATTGAAAAATGTGTTCATGTGGTATAAAGCCTGGACGGGTAGCCAGTCAATCACAGGGATGACGTACCTACCGGCAATTTACTCGTTAATTCACCTGATGTCTTCAGACAATCTGAAGAATCCGACGTGATGACTTAAAGTTACTTATTTTGCCCAAAACCCTAAAAACTCAAACAACGATATGAAACTTAGAAAGTAGTAAATCCTCACATACACCAAGCTGGAGCCATGGCTGTCCAGTGCTGTCCAGTGATTAAGTGTTTCTTCTTCTTCATGTCGATACACCATAAATATACAGTGGAGTCGCGTCTACCAGAGGTGAGGTAACGTGAGGTAACGCCTCCCTCACTGCTCTCATACGGCGGTTGCTCTCCGGTTCCCCCCTCAGGTAAACACTCTGTCAGCGCTGTTGCCGTTTTTTGCGCTGTTAGCTATGAGCCACTGGCTACAACTGAAATGATGTTAAAGCAGTGATTATACGTAACCTAGATATACAGAAAAAATAAAATCTTTTTGACCTCATTTGGTCTATTGACCTGAAAATCAAAACAACTGGTGCCTTATGGGTTGGCTACTCCGTCAAAGAACAAGTCTGTTGATGAACATTGAGACCAGTACTTCCTGTCATCATTCCTCTTCTCCATACTGGACTTCAAGAGATCCCTTCGTAGTGTGACTCCAGTATCGGTCTGATATGAGGCCTCAAAGTTCAAACCACTTTAGTAAAAAAGATTCCTTCATTTTCTACATAAAACTCCACACCTCGCCGGTCGCTAGTTTGAATGCCACACTGACCACCACCGCCGTGGTGCCCTTAAGCAAGGCACAGAAACCCACATCTGAGCAGTTTACTAGTTTTCTGTCGGATTCCTCCAGACGGATGGTGTTTGCAGAGTAAACACATCTACTCGCTGCAGGTCTCTCCCTCTGCAGAGAGACCCGGCCTGCTGCCCGAGCCGGTTGGATTCCTTACCGAGCAGCTGTCACTACATCATCCGCAGCTAATCGGAAAGAAAATCTGGTGTTTACTTCAGTGTCTCCTCTCTTCCTGGCTTTCTTCACCTCCCGTCCCTCCAACTCTTCATCTCATTCCTGAGATTGATTCGGCAGTTCAACGTCACAGTTCAACTCGACTCCCTCTTATTATTTCTCACCGCAGAGTTATATAATAACACAAAATCTTAAATTCCACCTTATAGACATTTTGTTTTCTCCGGCGCGGCGGATGTGAGTTTGACCCGCTCAAGGCAGGTACCTTATTTCATCACACACACACACACACACACACACACCGGAGTGCAAAATGAATGCACAATAGAAAAGCTGCAGCGAGTGCACACACAAACACATTGATATGCTGTAGAGCTTTGTTTTGTTTTTTGTTTGGGGATGAGTTCAGCACCGTTCACCTGCTGTGTGAATGTAAAGCAGCTCGCCGGCAAATGTTTCCCAGATAAGTCAAAATGGGGAAAAACTGCTGTGACTGTATTTATTATATCCCCCCCCCCCCCCCACATACTATGTGTTTTGTTGGTGAGCCAAACCTCAACACCTAGTTTGTGCTTTCAGCTGGATTGTTCTCTCGTTCAGCAACAGGTGCCCTGATGAGTTGTTTTTGGGTCATTAACATCAGCTTTGTTTACTTCCTGGCAGACTTTATTTGAGTTTATTGATAAAGAGGCGAGTAAAGAAATGCTAAATGGAGGAAAGTGAGACAAAGAACTCCCAGTATTGATTCAGACTGACAGAAAGGAAAAACACAAGTTGACAAGTATTAATGACGTGAGAACACAAACAGGATGAAAGCGACCCAGCGTTTGTCCTCTGTGAGCTGCTTCTCTGGGTTTTTTGGGAAACAACATGTTTAGATCACTGCAAGAAGCTTTTACTGACAAAAACACTGATTGTGTCGTCCGTTTTCAGAGCGTTGCGTCTTGAAAACAGGGCGGTTCTGTATGTGTTTTGATCTTTTGTATCCTTTTTTTTTGTTTTAGGCCAAACTGATTCAGATACTCTTCTGTTCAAGCCTCAGGAGCCAACTTCATCCCAAAACCTAGGAAAGGTACATTTTTGGAAGCATTCTGGTTTCCGTTTGTAGTCCGGGTAGTATTGACCGTTTTCGTTTGAGCGGGCTTTGGTTTCATGCAGGCGGTAACCTCGAAGCCGAAGCTTCATGTGTTAAAGCTGCATTCTCTCTAGTGTCCACCAGGGGGCGACTCCTCTGGTTGTATAGAAGTCTATGAGAAAATGACTCTACTTCTCTCTTAATTTATTACCTCAGTAAACATTGTAAACATGAGTTTATGGTCTCAATCTCTAGTTTCAAGTCTTCTTCAACACAGCATGATGTTCATTTAGTACATTATGGTCCATTTAGAGTCAAACAGACCATAAAGCAGGGGATGCTTTTGGGCGGGGCTTACTGTGATTGACAGGTTGCTGCTGCTACCAGATCTGAATACGCGTCGCTACGTCATTCCTCAGCATTTCAAATATGGTAACTTCCGTTCATTTGTTGTCAAAACAACAACAATGGCGACGGCTGTGTCAGTAAACAGTAAACAGTCGGGAACGCAGCGGCCGAAGTGAAATCTTGAAAAACCCATCAGCTATCATCTGAAGCCGATTTAACTTTTTCCCAGCGAGCAAAAACTTGGCTAAAACATGTCAGAAGTACGTGATTTCTGGACATCCAGGAGACGTCTTCAGGGGAGCCTGAATAAAAGTGTTTAATGTCTTTTCTGGACATTAATTCAAATACTTGTTAAAGGCGTTTCTTTTACATCCAGATGTCGTCTTTCAACTCTCGCTCCATTCTCCATTCTTCCAGTCTCAAGCTGCTAATCGGACTGTAAACAATGACCGGCACGCAGAAGAGGAAGTCTCGGTCTGGGTACCCGCTGGCTACACCCCCGAAACATTAGCCATTGCCCCCCCCCCCCAAGAGACTAAATCATCGTCAGGCTGATACCCAATGGGTTCTGAGCTTGACCAATGAGCACAAAGCTTCTCTTCGTTCTACAGTATTCATGCTGTAATTATCTGAACATGGAGCAGCTGAGCTTTCTCATAACCTAGATACATTTTCAGTCTTGAATACCTTCAGTACATATTCAAACGATTCTTCTTTTGGTCCAACAAATGGATTAGTGTTTAACGGCTCTATAACCGCCTGCATGTCCCCATCACCGCTGCCCGCTAACTAGCCACAGCTGCAGCACCACTTCTGTGTTTTGTCTGCTGCGTTTGAGGCCTGTGGAATCCGAGTGGATGAGTGTTTGTGCCGAGCGTCTCCACAGGGAGCATTAGCCGGCTTCAGCGGGCACTGGAGTGTGAACCGGAGAGCTGGTTTCGGGGCTTTTAGAGAGGCACTTAGAGAACAAACACTGACCCCCCCCCGTGTGTGGAAGCACGTCAAGGCGTGCTGCCAGCATGCTTGCTTTGTGTGTAAAAATGGACATGTGCATGCATGAATATATTATGGTTGTCAATGTATATTTTTGAATTCTCTCCGTTGACTTCCATGAACATGTGTGTGTGTGTGTGTGTGTGTGTGTGTGTGTGTGTGTGTGTGTGTGTGTGTGTGGTGCTTACATCAGCTATCTTTTTCTGTCAGCAGCATTTTAATGGAGAAGAACTCCTTCAGGCATCCGATACCCTCTGAATGACTACACGTATGAGTGTGTCTCAGTGTGTGTGCGAGTATATACGCCTTCCAGTGTGCGTGGGAGGATAAAACACTGTGTGTGTGTGTGTGTGTGTGTGTGTGTGTGTGTGTGTGTGTGGCTGAGCCTCAGCGGTGTAACAGTGAACAGATCTCAGGCTATAAATATCGTGTCCGCTAACTGACGCTGAGCTAAAAATAGACACAGTTTGCATTGCCTCCGCCTGGAGGGCAACAGAAGAACTGCACCCAGGTGTGACATCCCAAGAACCACAGTTTGTTTTGTCTCATTCGATTTCTGTTCATGGTAATAAATCAGAGCGTGTGG